AAAGCATGTGTAAAATTCTGTATTCTTTTCTTTTTTCCCCTCCCGATGATATGTATAATGTGCATCCTTCCTTAGAGGCTGAAGGAAGGATGGTCTACTTGAAAATACGAAACATGGTTTTCTGCGTACAGCTCTCCTGCAGTACTCTGTATTAGAGATGCCCAGGTCTACATTCAGATACCTAAATCAGCTCCTCCTGCAAATAGAAATTCCATGTTTTAACTTGGCCCAGAATTTTTACTTAAAAAGACTGTTATATTTTATACCTTTTAATGATTTATTTAACCTGCCCTGGACTGCATGACATCCAGTCAGAGCAATCTCATTAACTCTTTTACTCGTTAGAACTGCCCGAGGTCAGTGTTCAATATAACATTCAATAGATATAAGTACCTACAACATAATTTGCTCATGCAGTCTCTCATTGAATTACACCCGTAAGGAGCAACCACTTTTCTTAGGCTTAACCTTTGTTTTTAGTGGGTTGCTTTCAGTGGCCAAAACTTTATTCCAGCTTCTACAATATCTTAGGATAATTTTCAAGTAATAATTGGAAACAATTAATATTGAACAGGTCTCCTGAGTATATGCATGCCTTTTGTGAGCAAAAAGCTCTGTTCCTTGTTTAACTTTCCCTAGATCTTTTATTGAATGTCTCTTCATTTTCTTAAATCAATCCTAATGATAAATTGGGATTTTTTTCGATCCCACTCAGTTCCTTTTTCAACGTGCTAGAGACTTGGAGAGTTTGGGTTTGCATTTGGCAGCAGTATATTGAGTTGGGTTTGGACTGTCTCTGCTGTGTCTGTAACAGAGTCACAGATCTGCATCTCTGTGGAACACACTGTATGGCTCACTTTGCATCAGCGACAGTGAGTATGGGAGTGAGGCAAACACCATTATTGCAATGAATACCCTCTGTCAATAAAAAAAAAAGACAGTTACACATGCAACAGTATTTAATTCTCGCTTTCCACTGTTTTAATGACTACATAGACTTCAGGACACACGTGAATGGGAGCTGGAAGCTGGCTGTCTGAGGTAAGGTCAAAGTGTAGGGGAGAGCCCATGCTAACCAGGTGCAGCTGCCTGGTTCTGTAGGCAGGCAGCATTAGTTCCTGCTTTTATCTTTCTGAACATCTCTGTGTGCTGTTGTTCATCTTGCACGTGATGTTGAAGTCTAGAGCACTGTGTGGCTTTACTGTGCCTAGGAATTCAACCTTCATATCTGCTCTTGAGAGTCTTGAGAACATGTTCAGTTCTGGATTCCAGACCAGCTGAACTAGCTCAGCGTTAAGACCTGAAAATCAGACAAGCATGTGGATTGTGTTTGCAGCTAGCAATGAAAGAGGGTTCACGTATCACTTAAAAAGTTGCAAGGTCTGTGTACGCTTCTCGTCCTCGGGCAGTGGATGAGGGAAGTGTTGCATGAGCCAAGATGTGAAGTCTAGGTGTCAGTTTCTGCTGGACTATGCACAGCGTTAAAAGTACAGTTGTACAAATTGAAATGGAAGGGAAGATTGTAAGGAAGGATCATGATTTTATTATGCCAGCTCATGCAGCTAGGGAAGGCAGCAAGCTGACGGGCTCCAAGCCTGCACATCTGGTCATCTTTCAGAAGTTTCTTAATATCGGGCAGCCTTGAGCAGACCAAGCTGGAGCTCTTCTAAACCTGATGCTCATCACATGCAATGCACTGGGGATCTACAAGCTCAGACCAGCTCCCAAAAACCCAAGTGTGAGGGACAAGCAATACCTGCAATTTGGGTCTTAATCCTATATATTAGTGGGTTAGGTGGTGTTGGGTTGATGCTTGGACTTGACGGTCCTTGAGGTCTTTTCCAACCTTAATGATTCTATGATCTGTGCAATCTTCATGAGCAGGTGCTTCCTCACTGCTGCAGGCACAAGAGTGTATTTCTGTCTGTCAGACATGAGATGGCAGCAAAGCCCCATCTGGCTCTGACATGACCAGCGGGAGTCATTTTCTCTGCGAATTCCAGTTTCTCATGCTGTCTGTGTGATTTGGATTCAACCAAGGTAGTAAAATAGGAAACAAGGAACTTGGACAAGGTGTAGCTGTCCAGCGTGGTGATCCCAGCAATGGCTGCAGATGGTCCAGCGTGCTAGGCTGAGTAGTTTATAGCTTGTTGGCAGAGCTATATTGAACAATAAAATTTAGGAACTCATCTATTAAAAGCTGGATGGTGACTGGGCATAGAAATGCTGAAGATTGTCAGTAATCTGTGCATATTTGGAAATGCTTGCTTTATGGATTGGAACATGTAAATGGGTGTCAGACAGTGTGGTCTCTTCCCCCATTTTTGCTGTAGGTTCACTGTAGCAGGAAAGATCACCTAGTGTGCTTCCTTTTTCAAATTTGTAACGTGCAAGGATTGCCTTCAAGCTTTTGATTGTTACAAGGTTCAGCCAGTCTTTGTAAATGCTTAAACTAGTTAAATTGGGTGTGATACAGAAATATAACTGTTGATCAGACTTTTAAGTAGTTTAATCTATTTGTGTTATAAAACACCTGCCTTTTTTTTAATCTTCCATGAAAAAAGAAATCTTATCCTGCCTCTAGGCCAGAGTTAAGCATTTTAGTGGCAATATTTCTTTTCTGACACACAGGAATGTTTTTGAAATATGAAATGTGAAATGTAGAAAAACAGTAATGATGCCTCATTCTTATTACCTTTTAGTTTGAACTAGACAAGTAGCTACGGTTAGGCAATAACTTGAAAAAAAAAAAAGTCCAGATGTATTTTTTGCCTATTATATTTGAGTACATTTCTTTCTTTAAGCAAAAGGAGTATCTAACAGGGTACCATTCTCCCTTCAAGGGCGAAATGAGAGATTTTTTTGATTTCTTTTTCTTTTCAAGTCAAGGATAAAACCTGAAACTCTCTGTCTTGCAAACTTGAACTCCAGACAATCCTTTCACGGCTGAACGAGACGTTCATAGTGGCGCCTCTGGTATGGCACAATCGCCTTTTTCTTTAAGCAAAAGGAGTATCTAACAGGGTACCATTCTCCCTTCAAGGGCGAAATGAGAGATTTTTTTGATTTCTTTTTCTTTTCAAGTCAAGGATAAAACCTGAAACTCTCTGTCTTGCAAACTTGAACTCCAGACAATCCTTTCACGGCTGAACGAGACGTTCATAGTGGCGCCTCTGGTATGGCACAATCGCCTTAAGCCTAGGGAAGCTTGGGGCTAGCTTGGGATACTCCCAGTTTGCTGCTACTTCCTAGCTGATACGTTAACACACACAAAAAAAAAAAAAACACCTGGGACCTGCCGTGCAGGTTTCATTGCAGGACTGAAGGAACAGGTCTGTATTTTGACCTATGCTGATATTACCTGACTCCTCTGACTGCCACTGCCAGAGGACCTTTGGTTAAGAGCAGTGAGCATTTCATGCAGCCAGCTGTCTGCAGCTGCCAGACCTCTGTCCCGTGATTTCAAGAGAGAGGAAAAGCTGCGTGCTTTCTTAGATCGCTCTGTTAGATGGTTTGAATGTGATCTGGAAAGCTTAAACTGCCCTTTTGCTCTCTTGCGGTGGGCCTTCCAATTATTGTAATTCCTTCCCTTATGCTCTGGAAAGCAGATAGTCTCCAGATGTGGCAAACTGGAATCCCTTTTTCTTTCTTTTCTTTTCTTTTTTTTTTTTCTTTCTAAAATCTGTGGAAACTCCATCTTGTTTCTCCTCCAGTCACTTGCACAGCTTGGAGGAACTGCCGGCGCTCCACAGCGTGCCTGGTGTTTGCTCCGTGTCTGTGAACCGTGGTGGAACAAACTAGGTCTGCTGATGGATTCCAAAATCTGACAGCAAAGTAATTTGAGTCAGCATCTGAGAGGCAGGAGGCAGAACCAGATTCATTTAGCCTACACGCTGTTACACACCAGTTTTCAAGCACTGAGGTGCTAATTCGTCTGGGTTGTAAATGCGGAGTGACAGGTGCAGCGTGGCTCGCCGTAGCATCATGCTCTCTGATGGCTTTTCAGGCCTTGAACTATGGGAGGCCTGGCAATGCTAAATTTTAAATGCCTTAGCCTATTACTCGCCTCATTTGCTTTTCCCTCTTGGACTCCCTATAATTAGACATGACTTGGTCACTACTGATCTTAAGTTTAAATAAAGAGAAACCCTCTGCCTCACAGCCCCATAGCTGTGCCGGGTGGCAGAGCGGAGGCACAGGAGAATCTCATAGCACCTATTTACGGGTTTAAAGGGTCTCTGGAGCCTCTCCAGAAAAATTATTTTCCTTCTTGCCTTGTGGAAGGCCTACGGCTCTCAAACACAAGAGAAATACACTGTGTTCATCAATCAAACCTGGTAGCTTCTGTCTATTCGTCATTGTCTGCTTTATAATGCCAGTCACAAGGCGAATACTCTCCTGAGGGCAGGAGGTCATCAACTGCTGGGATGGGTGTATCTGAGGGGAGCGGCCAGAAAATTTGCAGCCTTCCCCAGCGTTTTCTGCCCACTGTTGAGTACAGAAGATGTAAAATGGGGAGGACTGCGGTGTCCCTCCCCCTCGCCTGCTTAGTCAGGGAGGACTGTTCAGCTACTGCTCAGAGAACCTCCTCCACAGAAATCCTTGTTACAAAGTCTAGCAGATTGGGGATGTTTGTCATGAACATCCCTAATCTGCATGTTAAGGGTGATCTATAAAGATTTAATTTGATTTTGGCAGTTAGATCTGTTAAAAATTGTCTTGAATGCTATCTGCAGGATGCAGACGTACAAAATAGAAGACCAGTGTGCGGCAGTCGTTATTTTTAGATTATATGAGCAAAGGCCCTGCTCACATGGGCTCTGGGAGAGCATCAGTAGCTTGGACTCGCATCCCAGCTCAACCACATTGTATTTGCTGTCACCAGTGTGTAGTGGTTTAGTGATAAACGGAGTAATAGGTCCCCAACATAGAATATATAGACTTGTGGCCACGCTTCTATGACATCAGTATGTGGTGGTGTTTTGTTTTTTTTCTTCTAGTTTGAAATCAGGCAGCTGAGGGCCCACCTTGCTCAGCAGGATTTAGATCTGGCTGCAGAGAGAGAGGCTGCACTGCAGGTCCCACACGTACTGAACAAGCAGAGCAGCAACAGGTACAAGGTGGTAGCAATTGAAGATTCGGATGATGAAGCCACTGAGAACATCACTGAGCTGCGACCTCCACGAGGTGAGTGCTGCCTGCGTGCTGCTCCCCGCCGGCACAGCTAGTCCCTTACATGGAGTTACTGAACACACTGAATTTCTTTCACTCTAACAGTGAATTGATTACTTTACCATTTTTGCAAAGAGGCTGCGTCTGCTTCTAAATGGCAGGACCTGTTGTATTTGTGAACAGATTCTGAATAGAGCCAATAAAATGACTTGGGAAGAAAATGACTGTGATGTACCTTGCCAGTGTCCTCATGATTACATCCATCAAACACTGAGGAAGCAGCAGCCAAATCAGAATAGGCAAAGCAATAATCACCCAGAGGTAAAAGCAGGGAAATTGAAAAGAACATTTGAAAAACAGTTTTGGTCTTTGGCCACTTGCATTTCTGTGGTTTAGAGGAGACATATGCACCAGCTGTGAAGCTTGCCTTGCCTAGAGACTATGCTCTCACCAGGCTGCTTAAAACCGCCAATGCTGGACAGGGCAGCTCTGGGGCCGGAAAAGGAGTGACGGCGATGCGCTGTGCAGGCAGCTCCTGCTCGGATGTCTAAGTGCTGTGACTATGGTGAAGAATAGCCCATCATCTGTGGGCGTCTGTTGGGCAGGTGTGTGGTTTGGGGGAATATCAACAGTTAGATCCATTTTTATCACACAAGTGCCAGACCAAAAGTATTTTTTGTGAAGACATAGCTCTTTCTCCTGTGATCCCCCAACCCTTACAACGGACTGCAGAATGTATCCTGATCTCAGTAACATTTAACGTAATATTCCAGAGGAAACAACATTTCTACCTTAGTGATATGCTGGTCTTCCTTAGGCATCTTAGCTTGATTATTTTAGCAGACGAGCAGTATGTGAATATATCTGAATTAGAGGTTTGCATGGTATCATTATTTTGGTCAAATTCCTTAGAATTCAAGGCACTTGAAGGCGCAAGAAGTACTTTAATCAAAATGCTTAAGAGAAAAATCTCTGCAGACTTTTTTCAAATTATAATCCTTTTCACTCTCTACACAGTAATGAAAGCATGTAGAAAATGTTTTTGTTTTTTCCTCTTTAATAATATCTAAGCGCTAACCGCAATTCAGCCATTAATTATTCCTGATTTGAAATTGTATTTAAAAGCAGACAGTTGAGCAGACTGCCCCTAAAATGCATTTCCCCCTTTTTGGTAGTATTTCAGAGGTTTACCCAGTGGATATATTATAATTTATGCATGTATTCCTTGAGGGTTACATTTGGAACTGGAGAGTGTTGTGCAAATTGTAAGGAGGCTTGCTGAAATTTTAGTCCTCTGGAGATTCATCTAAAAATTCTTCTGTCCAAGGTATTTGTTCCAAAATCCAGGTTAACACAACTACTCGTTATTTGTGTCTCCCTGTAAAATGCTGGCCACATATGCAACAGAGTAGATGCACAATCTTCAGGATTGATTTCTACATTCAGTTAGGTGTCATGATTAGAGGGATTCATGCTTTTCACTGAAAAAAAGACATTCAGCAAATAAGAAAACATTCATACCTTTACATGTCGGGTAAGGTGCAGTTATGTTATATTTAAGCATTCATTCATACTGAGTAGACAGAATTAATCTCTGATTCCCAGAAGTCATCTAAAAATACAGGAGGAAATATTTTTTTGTGCATTGTCTCATATATTACACACAAAGCCTTTGTAGATGCATTGGGTGCTTGTCCTCAGAAGGTAAATTTGAGTGACTCTATTTTAACAATTGTCCTTTATGTTGAATGAGGCAGGAGTTGGACAGAAAAAGTTTCCTGTGCTCTTCACAGCAAGGGACACCCATCTGTGATAGTCTGCTATCTATCACAGTGAACTGTGACAGGGGACCAAGTTAAGATTGCGTGAGAAACCACAAGCTCAGCAGTAACATTCAGTGCTTTAGTCGACAGTCCAGGTAAGAGTCAATTGAAGCAGAGGACTTTGCAGTTAATTTCCTGGATTGTTTTGCAAAGTTAGAAAGTAGTACACTACCAAGGCTTTGAATCCTCCCCTAGTAGTGCTGGCTTAGAGATTGCTTCTGTGTAAGCCACAGGACTTCAGGACCTCAGCTAACAGCTTAAGAAGGCAGTTACTCTGCCTGGTTCTTCTCCCTCCCCACCTCAACTTGGTCTTTCTTTTTCCAGTACCAACTTGCACTCCCAGTAGTGTGGTGGCTGTTGCTGCAGCAGCTTTCACCATGATCACTTGGGCGTGCTGTCAGCGTTTTCTTCATCTACACCGTGGCCATTCTGACTAATACAGGAAAACCCAAACGTGGTATGTTGAATGGAAGAAGAGCATGTCTTCAGCTGAACGTGCCTCCTCTCGCACAGTGTGGAAGGGGTATATCTAGTTGGTGTAGGATCTCCCACCTCCCCATCTGCTGAGGTGCGTCAAATACTCCCGAGACATGGCTTTGCAGAGCACAGACGATTGAGATGTTTCCTGTAGGTCAATTCTGTATCCTCCTGCTTTTCACGTGCTGTGGGTACACGGTCTGTTCTATCTTTAGGTCTTTCCGCAGCGCTTGCTCTGCCTGGAACTGTAAGCCACCAGTGTTTAGTTCCTGACTTTTGGGTCAAGGGTTATGTTTTGCAAGTTACCCTCTGTGTCAGACCACACTAGGAATCGCTTTGCTTGCATCCATCTTCTGTAAGCTGTGTTTTTCCTCCTTAAAGACTGCAGAACGATGACTGTAGTTAATTATTCTGTGTGCCACACGGCATTTGTGAGCTTTGAAAAATATCTACAGTTGCCTGTTACACTGACTAGTTGGAAGAGAAATAAGGGGACCAGGTTGTTAAATCTGTTAAAAGAAAAGCTCCAGTTCAAAGCCACAATTCAGCTGTTAGGCAAAACAGGCTTTGATCTGCTGTTCTCTTACGCTCTGGCAGAACATTAGCACTACATATAACACCTGAGGGTAGGGTATGGCATGGGAATGTGTGTGTTTGTGCCAAACTTAACTTTGTCAGCCTTCAAAAAATCACCGTCCTCAGAGAGCCCTGGATTCTGCCAAACCAGCGAGCTTGAGTTGGCTAGAGAACATACTACATGAGAAAATGAGATATTCCATCTCCAGCTAATCTTATTTCCCCCATCTATATTGAACAATGGAAACATTCAGTGCAGAATACTTTACTGCAAACGGGTTGTGGAATAAGAAAGCATTCAGACTTTTTACTCATTTCCCTACCTGGGAGTTTTATGGGATAGTACATAAGTTAAAGCTCCTCAGGGGCAGCTGCAGCTTGTACTCTGGTATTTACACTGGATTTTGTGCAACTGTTCACTGCAGCATTCAGTAAAGTAAGTCAGGTAATGCCAGCATCACGTGGCACACACAGCACCTCAGGGAATTTGTGTAGAGACACACACTGTGGCCTGCATCAGGAGAGTGCTGTATGCGCTAGCTCGTCTGGGAACTTTCAGTACATGTTGTCACTCAGCTTTTCTTTCTGCAGATCTCTCTCTTTGTACCCAAAGTGCCATAATTGCTGGTACGAGACTGGGAGAGGCAAGAGCTCTAGTCAGATGTCAATGGGCTCTGAAAGTGTCCTGTAACTCCCCAGCTAATGTGTCATGCCTCTTCTTGAAGGACCCCTTCTGGAGGCAGTACAGCTGTAAGCTGTTTGTGGCCTGGTCAGTCCTGTGCTAACTCTGAGTAATGAGCTGGGTGCTGCCTCGCACGCTTCTGTCTCCCCAGAGCAGTTCACCAAGAGACCTCCTAACATAGCAGGAATAACTCTGGGGAAAATGTATGGCTATATGGTATTTTCGATTTAATTTGGCTAAGAAGCAGGAAATTTTTCACCTTTAACTTGCTTTGAATGAAGGTCTTATTTGTCTTGACATAAAATTGATCTCCTGAGCAGACAAACACAGGCTTCAGCATGCGAGTCAGAGGGTGCCATTATCAACACCAGGAAAGATGAGGCACTCGGGAGGAGGGCAGGACTCTTGGAGCTATAAACCCAGGGCAAAGCTGTGACATGTGATGCACTGTGAGCTTCTCTGCCTCAGTTTCTAAAGAGCTGAGGCAAAAGCTGGTGCATGTGAATGCACAGCAGCATTGCTAATGATTTTCAGGACCATTGTGGTCAGCTTTACTCTAAGATCAAGGGAAGTATCCTAAGTGCTGTCATCTCCTTTCTTCTTCCCAGAGATGGTTACCATTTGATATAATGGCAAATATTGCTCTATCTGTTCGTCTCTAAATTATGAAGGAGGTTTTTTCTCTTGCCGAATTCTTACTTCCTACAGTATGTAGCTGGTTCGTGGTCAGAATAACAGCTAACGTTTTCTGCTCCTGCACAAATCATTTTTAGTGTTTGGTATACAAAGTTCCAGGCTTCAGGGATTGCCAGGTTCATGGTGCCTCAGATAGCCATGAATACTTCCTTCCAAAATTTATTATTCTTTAATCTCTCCCATAATACGTGAATTACAGTCCCTAGTGGAAATTCCTCATTTTCCTGCATATATCATTTCAGTGTTTGAAATTCTACAGTACTGCCATAGTTTAAGATTAATATGCCACCCTTCTATTATTCCTTTGAGCAAGAACCAGATCCTAGCTCTTTCACTTTGCATCACAGAAAGCTTATTTTAGTTATTCTGAGTCAAATTTCTGTTTTTGTAGGGTTAGCAGTAAGTCTTTTGCTTTGGGGGACTCCTGCAATTTATGATCGTCCTTGGAAAAAAGTAAAACTTGCTCTTCCCATAGGTACCCACTGTTTTGCAAGTGAAGAAAGTGGGATATTGGGAGTGGAACGTGAAAAATTCTGGAGCTTCAGAGGGCTTCCCTCAAGATTATGCATAAGCTGTCGGTGAAGGCAAACCAGGGTGCTGGAAAGGGTTTTGTCAGTTGTTCCTTGCAAGGCAATCTGAGCTGGTTGGACACGTTTAAACTCTAAGCCAGCTCCTTTGGTGATCATCTGTTAGTGCTCTAAGAGAGTCCTGTTACTGCCGAGCAAGAGATAAAACATAGTTTATGGTTCTTTTCAGATGTT